GAGCAAATTGCTTTTAGAATGGGAGGATAAAACAGGGGGGGTTATGCCAAGACCTTCCCTCAGTGAAATGGTTCCAATCTGAGTGATGGGACAAGAGGAAAAGGCCTCAGGTTGCACCTGGGTGGGTTTAGGTTGGGTATGAGGGACTATTAATTCACTGAGAGGGTGATGAGGTGTTGGGACGGGCTGCCCGGGGCAGCAGTGGAGTCACCATTGCAAAAAATACGGGGATGTGGCCTTGGGTGGGAAATGGTTGGACTTGATGGTCTTGGAAGCCTTTTCCCAGGTGAATGATTCCTGATTCCCTGATTGCCTGTTCCTGCTGTGCCCCCAGGCCTGGACTCGCGGGGGTTCCTCATCGGGACCCCGCTGGCGCAGAGGTTGGGCATCGGCTTCGTGCCCGTGCGGAAAAAGGGGAAACTGCCCGGTGCCACTGAGTCCATCTCCTACAGCCTGGAGTACGGCAAGGCAAGGCCTGGGGCTCACCCTGGGGGGGCCAGGGGGGCTGAACCCGCGGGGAGGGGGTCCCAGGGTGGGTTCTGATGCCCTGGGAGTGGCACTGAGCCGGCCCCGAGCCGCGGTCGCTCCGTTTGTGCCCACGGGGGATGTTTGGTGCTGTGCCGTGGTTCTTCTCAGGGGGTGGTGCTCAGACCTGGTGCTAAATGGCTTTCTTTGGCTTGAATCCAGGGGCATGACCACGGAGAGTGTCCCCCACTCTGGCAGTAAGTGCTGTAAGTCAGAGCTGCCCTGCATGGCTTCCCCCATCCCGCCCCATAACCCGCGGCTGCCCGGGGGCTGAGCCTCAGCCTGTGCTACTCCCACTAGGAACTAACAGCAGCAGAGCCCCCAAAGCCAGGCCTAAGCCACGAGGATTGTTTGGGCCAACTGAGCTCGTGTGACACATCCAAACAGGTGCCAGTTTGGATCTGGCTCTAGGCAGAGCTCCCCAGGCCGTGACAGGAGATTTTCCTCGCCGGAGAGCTGCTCTGGGATAGCATTCCACCATAACTCACACCATGAAAGTTCAGGATCTTGGTGTGCCAGAGGGTTGGCCCAGCAATCCCCTCCCTGCTCTGTGTTTCTGTGGCGCTCCCCTGTAGCTGGAATTTGTGGGTTTTTGGGATTTTAGGTGCTGAGTGTTTATGCTGATGTCGCTGAGGACTTGTCTGTGCTCCAGCATGAACCAGCAGCTCCTGAGGGGCTTCTCCCCAAGGCCAGACTAAACCAAAGCTGCTCTTTGCTCCCTGCAGGCTGAGCTGGAGGTCCAGAGCGATGCTGTGGAGCCAGGACAGAAGGTGGTGATTGTGGATGACCTGCTGGCAACTGGAGGTGAGGGAAGCACCTGTGATCCTGTGTGCATGGAATCATGGAATGGCTGGGGGGGATAAATCTGGAGGTGAGGGAAGCGCCTGTGATCCTGTACCCCTGAGTGCATGGAATCATGGAATGGCTGGGCTGGGTAAATCCCATCCAGTCCCACCCCTGCCCAGGCTGCTCCAAGCCCCCTCCAGCCTGGCTTTGGGCACTGCCAGGGGTATCCACACCTCTCTGGCACCCTCAGCCTGGCAGCAGCAGGGGTGGCTTTGGGGTGCCCCTGGAGTGAGGATGTTTCTGCTCCCCTCCACAGGAACCATGCGTGCTGCCTGCGAGCTGCTCAAGAGGCTGAAGGCTGAAATCCTGGAGTGCCTGGTGATCATCGAGCTGAAAGCCCTGAAAGGGTCAGAGAAGCTGAATTCCATCCCTTTCCACTCCCTGCTGCAGTATGACTGAGGAGGGAGCACTGGGAACAAATCTGGGGCTGTATGTGGTGACTCTGGCTGTCACAAGGGGGTGGGGAAGGGGGAATGGGGTTAATCACAGGTTTTGAGCGTGGCCAGAGCTCTTCAATCCTAAATTTCCCAAGCACTGTGTTGAGTGTAATGATCCCTTTTGGAGTTCATCCTTTCAGGAAGAACAGGCAGATTGACTGGGGGGGGTGGAGACCAAGATGCAGCTTCTCTGAATCTGTGGGTTTTAGGAGACCAAAGTGACAATATTGCTGCTGAGGCAGGAGAGCTCTGACAGGGCACCAGCATTCCCTGGGCTGGGCTGTCAGCCTCCAAGGAACCTGCTGAAAAATTCCCAAAGAAACACAGGAGATGGGCAAAAAGCAGTTATTTCTGTAAAGGACAAATCCTGCTGTATCTGACCTCAGGATGGGCTGGGGCTCTGTGCTGTCACACCAGAACAAGCTGCTCTTGCACCAGGGCTGTGCCTGTTGAGGGGAATGAGGTGCCTGCTGTGCCCTTAAATCGGGGTGGTGCTGCTGTGGGATGAGCCCAGTCAGTGTTTTCCTTCCCTGGAGGCCACAGGCACCTTTTGTTCAGCACAATTCCCCCTCTCCTGCACCACATCCCACTCCTGTGCTGCTGCTTCCCCTCTGCTGGGCTGTCCTGGGCCATCAGAGCCTGTCCTGGTGGGAGTTTGGTGCCAGGGGAGGCCCAGCAGAGGTGTTGCAGGGGTCTCTGGTGTGTGAGGGGGTTTGGAGATGCTTCCTCCAGCATAGTTCAGTTTGCTCACAGTAAATCCCTGTGTGCCAAAACTTCCACGAGCCTGAAACCATCAGGGACTGTGTCCCTGGCCCAGCAGGGACTGGACTCACAGGTAAAATAAACACTGATGTATTTTTATATTTCCTAAGCTGTCTCAGAGCTGTTCTTGCAGTGGCTGAAGCCGTGAATGACCCCTGGCAGTGTCTCAGCTGGTCAGTGGGGCAGGGCTGTGCTGTGAGCTCTCCCTCGTCCCCCAAATGCTTGGAATTGTTTCCCAGGGAGCATTCAGGTGCCTTTTCTTTACTTTGCACCCACCTCTGGCTGCAGAGGCTTGGTGAGCTCAGCTCCCCTTCCCCGCCCAGCACCTGGGGCCACCTCCCAGCCAGCCCCTCCACTTGGAAGGAGCATTCCAGCTACTTTCATCCCCTTTTCCTGAAAAGCCCCTTCAGCGCTGCTCAGTTTGCACTGAGGAACACAATTCCCTGGGGCCCAGGCTGCTCCAAAGCCTTGGGGAGCCAGGGCAGGCAGCACATCACAGCTCCCTGCTGCGGGGGAGCAGGAGGAGGAGGAGGGAAAATCAATTCCAGCCCCGAGAGCCACGGAAAGCAGCTGCGTGCTGGGGAAGCGGCGTCAGCCCTGCCCGTGCCAGCAGGTGACATCAGGGAACGTGGGGACGCTGCCTTGGCCCTGCCAGCAGCCCCTGATGTCATCGGCTTGGACAGACCAGGCTGGTCAGGGGCGGCTGCCAGGTGGGAGAAGGGTTTCATCCCAAAGAGAAGGGTTTTACCCCCAGGAGCAGAGGGGTTTTACCCCGAGGAGCAGAGGGGTTTTACCCCCAGCAGCAGAGGGGTTTTATCCTGAGGAGCACAAGGGTTTTTTATCCCAAGGAGAAGGGTTTTATCCTAAGGAGAAGGGTTTCATCCCGAGGAGCAGAAGGGTTTCATCCTGAGGAGCACAAAAGTTTTACCCCGAGGAGCACAAGGGTTTTATCCCAAGAAGGGTTTTACCCCAAGGAGCAGAAGGGTTTTACCCCGAGGAGCAGAAGTGTTTTACTCCGAGGAGCAGAAGGGTTTTACTCCGAGGAGCAGAAGGGTTTTATCCCAAGGAGAAGGGTTTTACCCCAAGGAATAGAACAGGAGCTCACTGAGAGCTCTCCTGGGATGAGAGCCTGGCTGCTGATTCCAGCTCCTTTCCAGTCCTGCTCCACTCCAGCTCCTTCCCACCACAGTGAGGTCCCTGAGCAGGGCTGAGAGCCCAGCCTGCCTCAGGAGCCCCCAGCCTCACACCCAAACCCTGGGCTGGGTTTAATCCCTGTTCCTCCTCCCTGGAAAATGGGCACGCTCCTGCACAGGCAAGCACGGGCCTGGAGGAGGAGGAAGAAGGGCTCTTGCTCCCTCAGGAAGTGCTGTAGGATCTCAGCTGCTGCCAGACTCCAGCCCAGCATTTAAGGTGAGGAATCTGCCCAGGAGCAGCGTGGGATGAGAGGATGAGCGAGCCCCCTTTCCCTGCAGGTCCCTGGTGTCCCCAGGCTTGGGGAGCAGTGCCAGCTGTGACCCTGCAGGTCCCTGGTTTCCCCAGCCCCAGCCTGCCTTGGGGAGCACTGTGAGCTGTGCCTGCTGTGCCCATGGGCATCTCCCACCCCGACCTGGGCACGGTGCCAGCCCAGCACCTCTGTGCCATCCTCACCCTCTTTGTCCCTCTTGCCGAGCCACTTCAGTCTGAGTGGCCTGGGATTTCCCCTGGGAAAAGCAAACCCTGGATCCCTGCCTGCCCCGGTCCTGCAGCAGCTGCTCCCCCAGCCCCATCCACAAAAGCTGCATTCAGCTCCCTGCAAGCCCACGCTCACTTTTTCCAGTGAGTTTTTCTCCAGGAGCTGGATGGGGAGCCAGCCCTTGCCGGCGCCAATTGCCATGGAGAACCACGAGACAGGCAGCGAGGAAGAGCACTGGGTTAACACAAGTCAGCTATATTTAAAACATTTAATACAAATGTGTTTTGACAAGTCCTGCAGTTGTTTCCAGTGAGGACTGGAAGATGCGTTTTCCCTCCCTTAAAAACAGAACGAGGCCCGAAGCTCCAGAAACATCAATTTGTGACTTTTTCTCTCACTCCTTCCTGCCTGTCGCCCTCTCAGCCTGCCCTGCTCTGCCTTCACCCCACCAGGACCCAGTTAATGGAAGAAACCTCTGAAATTGGACCTGCAGGAGACCCCTCATGCACTGAACCTTCAGGAGAACCAGGAAAGGGAGAAGAAAAGGTTCCTCAGGTTAGGGTTGCTTTCATCACCACCCCAGGATTGCTCCAGGACTAGGGGACCTACACTCCTCACAGCTCCCACCACAGGATCAGTTAAATTAAGGCATTTTGCCCTTCCTCAGGCACCCGAAGACCAGCCCAGAACCCAGAGTGCTGTCAGGATTTGCTACATTCTGAAATTGCACAGAAAAACCCCAAATCGGGGGGGGGGGCTCAGAGAGCTCCAGCCTCCTTGGCCGCCTTGTTGAGCCTCTCAGTGACGAGGCCCAGGTCCTTCTCTTTGTCCAGCTTGACGTAGACGTCCGTCCTGAGGTTGTGGATGCCCACCCAGTCTGGCAGGAGCTCCGCGAAGAGCCGCACGTGTTTCTCCATCTCACCTGCAGCGGAGAGGAGTGGGATCAGCACTCGGCTCTTTCCATCCCCTTCCTCCCACAGAGAGACCCCCCAAAATCCCTACCTGGTGCCACCAGCTCGGGGCAGCTGTCGGCCAGGCGGGCGCAGAGCAGCTCCATGCTGAGCGCCGCCTTCTTCTCGGCCACGAAGGCGCCGCGCAGGAGGCGCGCCAGGGCCGGCAGCCGCGCCAGCCGCGCCGCCCGCTGCTCCTGCGCCGCGTCCCGCGTCAGCAGCGCCGCCAGCCGCGCCGCCTCCTTGGCCCGCACCTGGAACGGGGACACCTGAGCACGGGGAGCACCCCCAGGGGAGGGGATGGGCACAGGGAGCGCCCCCAGAGCCAGCATGGTGTGACTCACCCACTCCAACAGCCCCTGGGACACCCACCCTGAGCACGGGCAGCACTCCCAGGGGAGGGGATGGGCACAGGGAGTGCCCCCAGGGGACAGCCTGAGCATGGGCAGCACTCCCAGGGCATGGGCTGGGCACAGGGAATGCCCCCAGCCCCATGTGAACCTGGCACGGTGTGACTCACCCGTTACAGCAGCCCCTGGGACACCCACCCTGAGCACGGGCAGCACCCCCAGGGCACGGGCTGGACACAGGGAGTGCCCCCAGCCCCGTGTGAGGCCCAGCACGGCGACTCACCCGCTCCAGCAGCCCCTGGGACACCCCTCTGAGCGCGCTGGAGGTGCTGGCAGGGGTTGGGGCTTTGGAAAGTGCCGGCTCCCCCGCGCTGGATTCGGCCGTTCTGAGGGCCAGGTTGGCAAGAGCTTTTTCCATCTGCTCATGTGGAAGAGGGAGGAGGAGTTGGGTTACAGTTCAGGCTGGAGGAAGGAGAAGTTTCCCCTCTGCCGCCCCCGCTGTCACCCGGCAGCCCAGCCCAGGGATCCTGATCCATCCTGCCTGCACAGAGGAGTTGGAGTGCTTCATGGAATCATGGAATGTTCTGGGTGAGAAAGGACCTGGAAGCTCTTCTCATTTGCAGCCCCCTGCTGTGGGCAGGGACATCTTCCACTAGCCCAGGCTGCTCCAAGCCCCAGTGTCCAACCTGGCCTTGGGCACTTCCAGGGATCCAGGGGCAGCCACGGCTTCTCCGGGCACCCTGTGCCAGGGCTGCCACTCTCACAGGGAACAGTTCTTTCCCAATATCCCATCCATCCCTGCCCTCTGGCAGTGGGAAGCCACCCACACCTTCCCAGAGGTGGCACAGACGGTGCCCTGGCTCACCTTGGGGCTCAGCATGCCCCGGGCCGTGCTCAGCACCTCCTGGGCCGTGCTCAGCCTCTCCTCCTGCGGCGGCCGCGGCAGCTCCGCGGGGCTGATGTCCGGCACCTCGTCCACGTTGAAGCGGGGATGCCACCGGGTCAGCTTCTCCTCTGGCACCACCATGGGAGGGCTGAGGGCAGCCAGGAATGCCTGAGAAGGGTGAGAGCTGTGTCATGGCACCAGGATGGAGAGGCAGCCGCTGCCCTGCGCTCCCAGCACAGCTTGGTGACACAGGGAGCGGATTCAGAGCCCACCTCCAAGAGGAACCTCCGTGTCCTTCAGCCTGGATGGACCAGTGACAACCCCAGAGCCCAGAGCAGGGGGTGCCAGGTGCCCCTCACCTTGTGGTGCTCCCTGACGATGTTGACCAGGTTGCGGTGGAATTCCCTCCTGCGCTCCAGCAGCCGCGACGCCGACAGGTGCGGGCGCCCATCCACCTTCTCCTCTGCCAGGAGGGACACGAGTGTCACCCACACGCCCCAGCAGGGCACAGACCACGGCAGGACAGGACCTGAGCCCTGCCATGGAGCTGAGTCGCTGCCTGGACATTCTCCCTCCTGTCCCAAACCTGTTTCCCACTTCCAGCACGCTCAGGGGGTCAAATCAACAGACCAAGCAGAGCATCCCTATGGATTCAGGGATCAGCCAGCCCTTGGACACCCCAAAACCATCCATACCTTCCCCCAGGACGGGCTCCAGCGTGAGCTGATACTCAGACTTCTTCTTCCCACCGCTGCCGAAGGTGGGGACGTTCTTCTCCTGGCGCAGCCGGTACGAGCTGGGATACACAGCCTTGATCTGCCCCAGGTGCTGCTCTTCAAACTGCCTGTGACAGCACCACGGGGGTTGGGGACGCCCAGAGCTGCAGCTGGGACCCCAAAAGGGGCAGCTGGGACCCCAAAAGGGGCTGCTGGGACCCCAAAAGGGGCCAGCTCACCTGCGCATCATGTCCTGCACGCCCTGCTTGACCTTGGCGAAGGTGACGGTCTCGGCGCGGTTGAAGAGCATCCCGGCGATGGTGTCCACGCTGCGGAACATCTCTGCCAGCACGCGGAACTTGTAGGGCAGCGTCAGCCCCGGGGGCAGCTCCTGGGCCAGCGTGTGGAACCGCTGGTACGCCGGGGGCTTCTGCCTGTGGGGAGGGACGGACGGGGTCAGGGCCCTGCTGCTGACCCCGTGCCCACCTCCCACCCCACCCCAAAGCCCTTCTCTGGGTGGGTGCTGGGGCCACGTCACCTGTGGCATCGGTGTCACACTGCTCAGAGCCCCCACAGCCCTCAGACCCCCACAAAACCACTTCAGAGCTGTGGCAGCCCCCTCAAATCGCCCCTGCAGCTCCTCACCTGGTCTCTCCCTCTGGAGCTGCCACCCCGGTGTCCTTGGTGTCCCCAGCCCCGGTGTCCTTGGTGTCCCCAGCCCCGGTGGCCGCTCTCCTCTGCCGGACGCGCTGCTCCAGCTGCCGCACCCGCTCCAGGCGGCCCCTCAGGTCACTGCTGGTCCCGCTGGGGACAGAGGGGACCTGGCCCGGCACCTTCATCTCCTTCATCCTCTGCAGGCGGCCCTGCAGCTCGGCCACGTCCTCCTGGGCAGGGAGGGGACACGGGGTCAGAGCGGGACAGGCGGCACCGAATCCAGAGCCGGGAGCGGAGCCGGGATCAGCCCATACCCGCTGCAGGCGCCGGGCCGGTCCCGGGGATCCTGGGCTGGGCTCTGTCCCCGTGTCCTGCCCACGGCCCGGGGAGCCGCTGGTGCTGGCCGGGGGGGACACGGCCGGGTCCTGTGACAGCGGTGTCGGGGCTCGAGGAGTGGCCAGAGGCGAGGAGCTGGTGGCCTGCAAGAGAGAGGGGAGGAGAGTTAGGGACTGTCCGGGTTCCTTAGGGACTGTCCCGGGAACCCACCCGCCCGGAGCCCCTTCCCCTGTGCCCCCCAAAGTCCTGCACGGGGAGGGGGAGCCATGGAGGGGTCTGCAATAGGGGCAGAGGGGCTGAAGGGGGCGAGTTTTGGGGTTCGTGCACTTGGGGCAGGGGTCAGTCAGGTGAGGGGGGGATTGAGAATCAGGAGAAGGGGAGGCGAGTTTGGGGGGTCCTGCACGGGGAAAAGGGGAGGAACGCTTGCGGGGCTGTTGTTTTCTGGTTCCACACGCACCCATCCGCTCCCCCGCCCCTTTATCCTCCCGCATCCCACTGCAGGGCCGCATCCCAGAGGAAGCGGCGCATCCCCCACCCCGCCAGGTCCCTACCGCTCCCGGAGACCCCGGCTCCGCGTCCCGGGGCAGCTCCAGCCTCTTCCGCGCCGACTTCCCGCTGGGTTCCCCGAACCGGGCCCCGAGCGGCGACCCCGCTTCCATCTCCCGCCGGTTCCGTTTCCTGCCCGCCAGGCCCCGCAGCGCCGGGGAGCCCCCGCGGGCCGGGGTGCGCGGCGAGCCGGGCAGCGGCAGCGAGGGCCCGCTGAGCCCCGCCGGGACGCCATCCTCCTCCTCCCGGTGCACCGGGGCACCGGCGAGGGCGGCCTTGAGCGGGCGGCCGCCGCTGCGCTTGGCCGGGGCTCCGGTGGTCCCTTTGGTCTGGCCGAAGAAGTCGGTGAGGCGGAGCTGGGCCATGGCCGCGGTCCCGATCCCGGTCCCGGTTCCGATCCCGGTTCCGATCCCGCTCCCAGGAACACGTGGGGCCGGTCCCGCGCGCTTCTCTCCTGGCGGGAGCCCGCGCGCCGAGGCCCCGCCCACCGGGGGGCGGGCAGCGGTCACGTGAGGCGGGTTTGGCGCCACTCGGCTCTTAAAGGGGCCGCACCCCTCGGAGCGGTGCTGCACGTGGGGGTCCGGGGGGACCGGGACAGCTCCGGAGGACGAGGGGCTCCGGCCTTGCTGGGTCCGGGACCAGCTGGAGCGCCATGGGCAGGGATGGACGTTGCCCACTCCAGGTTGGGCTAGCGGGGTAAAATCTGGGAATTTCCATTGGAATGGTGCTGGAGGTCATCCCTGATCTGCTCTCCCCAGTGCTCACGGGGCCAAGCCCTGACTTGGAGCTCCATGGGGACCCTCCAGGGCACAGCCATGGGAACGAGGGGCTGTGGGGCACCTGCGTTGCCCCCTGCCCGCCATTCCCTGCCCTGTGCTGTTGGCAGTGCCCGGAGCTGGGAGCGGCCTCTGGCCCATCACTGCCGGGCCAGGCACTCAGGCCGTGCCCACAGCACTTTACGGAGCCTCACGTGTCTCCCCCATCCCTCATAAAACCCGAGCGAGGCTGGCAGAGAGCAGCAGGGCCGGATCGAGGCGGGCAGGGCAGGGCTCTGGGGTGCCATTCCCGGTGCCCATTTGCTTCCAGTGCCTCCATTCCCCGCCTGGCTGTGCGTGCTCGGGGCTGCTGCACCGCCCTTTCCTGGATCCCTGCTGGTGGGGGTGGGCAGGGGTAATTCCCATCTTCAGACACGGTGTTAGTGCTGAACTTCATCTTTGTGATGAGCAGGGTTTCATTTACAAGAGCAGCTCCCCCTGGATGCCAGTGCTGAGGGTGGGTGCAGCTGAGTCCCCGTGATAAGGATGGTGCCACAAGGGGCTGTGCCCACTGATCCCAGGGATCCCCACACTGGGAGCCATCAGACCCATCCTGTGCCCACTGATCCCAGGGATCCACACAGTACGGAGCCATCAGACCCATCCTGTGCCCACTGATCCCAGGGATCCCCACACTGGGAGCCATCAGACCCATCCTGTGCCCACTGATCCCAGGGATCCACACAGTATGGAGCCATCAGACCCATCCTGTGCCCACTGATCCCAGGGATCCACACAGTATGGAGCCATCAGACCCATCCTGTGCCCACTGATCCCAGGGATCCACACTGGGGAGCCATGAGACCCATCCTGTGCCCACTGATGCCACAGATCCACACACTGGGAGCCATCAGACCCATCCTGTGCCCACTGATCCCATGGATCACACACTGGGAGCCATCAGACCCATCCTGTGCCCACTGATGCCACAGATCCACACAGTATGGAGCCATCAGACCCATCCTGTGCCCACTGAACCCATGGATCACACACTGGGGAGCCATGAGACCCATCCTGTGCCCACTGATCCCAGGGATCACACACTGGGAGCCATCAGGCCCATCCTGGTTTGGGGTTTATGGGTGGGCAGGGGTGCCTGGATGGTTGGCACTTGGGCACATTTAGGGTGGGGAGAAGAGGCCCTGGCATTCTGGAGGGAGCCCAGAGGAGAGTGGGGAGCAGTGTGGCAGTGTGCCAGCTGGATGCCAGTTTATGAACCGTGTTGGGAAAACAAGCTCAGGGGAGCCAAGGAATGCAGAGAATTTCATGGGCCGGTGGTTCCTGTTGCAGGCTGGTGGTTACCAGCACTGCCAGGTGTCACCAGCCACACTGCCCGTGCCACCAGCTGTGCCTGGCACCTTCCCATGAGGATTTTGGGTGGGATTTGGGACTGGGACAGCCCAGCTCCAGATGTGACCAGGGCTCCCAGTTCCATGGGGGTGTGGGTCTGCATCTGGCTCTGCAGCGGGCACTGAGCTCTGGGAATGTGGGACTGTGGGTCCAGCTCCAGGAACACGGAATGATTCCTTGCTGCCAGGGACACAGCACCCAGCTCCAGGGACACAGAATAATTCCCCAGTGCCAGGGACACAGCACCCAGCTCCAGGACTGCACATCAACCCCTCCCAAGCTCCCCACTCCACGCAGCAACTCTGAGCCCTGGTATCAACAACAAACATTCAACAAAAACAAGTTCTGACTTCTTCATTTCATTTTCGGACGAAACAAACACGAAGCACAGCTGCTTATCTTTCTTTCATTTTTTTCCCTTTTTTTTTCTAGTCGATATTTTTTTTCCCCCGACGGCAAAAAGCGGACGCCGGGGGGCTGCGGGGCCCGCGCTGAGCCCGGCCAGCCCGGCCAGCCGGTGTGAGCGGTGCGAGCGGTGCGAGCGGCGGGCGCGGTGCCGGCGGGCGGCGCTGGGGCCGCGCCGGCCCCGCGGGTGGGGGGCGGGCGGTGCCGCTTTATAAAGCGGCGGGCGCGGGGCGGGGGCAGCGCCTCGGAGCGCCGCGGGACCGGGCAGCGGCGTCGGCACCGGGGCCTGCCCAGCCCCGGCGGGGCGGAACGGCTCGGAGCGGCTCGGGCCGGGCCCCCCCGCCGCGGCGGCCGGGCGGGATGAAGCGCCGGGGGCTCTGCCAGGGGCTCTACTGGCTGCTGCTGCCGCTCGCCCTGCTGGCCGGTGAGTGCGGGGATCCCCCGCCATGGGGAGCGGAGCGCGGCTCGGCGCTGTCGCCGCTCGCCGGTGGCTGCGGGCGCGGGGCCGTCCCGGCACGTGGGGCGGGAAGCGCCGGGAAGCCGGGGGCGAGCGGGAACCGGGGCTGCGATCCCGGAGCCGGGACGGGCGGTCCCTCCCTCCGCGGGGATCACCCGCGACCCCGCGGCTCCGCCCGTGTCCGAGCGCGCTGGCGGGCGGCGCTGCCGCTTTCCCCGGGCGGGACGGTGCGTGCGTGTCCCCCCCGTCCCCGCAGCTGTCCGGGTGCAGGTGGCCCGGTTGGGTCACAGCCGCCGCCGCCGCTGTGCCGCTGGGGGCGAGGAGCCCGCTCCGGCCGGGTGGGCGATGCCCGGGGGCGGCTGTGCCCATCCCGTCCCCGTGCCCGGGTGGATCCGGTGCCCCCGTGGCTCTGCGGTGCCCAGGCTGCCACCAGCCCGTTGCCAGCACTGTCGGCCTTTGATGGCAGCTGTGCTACCCACCGAGGCAACCGGCTGGCCACCGGCCTGGAAAATCCCCGTGTCCCGGGACGCGCAGGACAAGAATCGGCTCTTTGAAGCCCGCCTGCTCCGGAGCCTCTTCGGGGACGCTGCGTTTGCGTAGACGCAAAGGAAAATCCTCCTTAGAGCGAGGATTGTTCGAGGGGCTCCTGGTGCCGGGCTCTTTGCCGCTCGCCCCGGCCGTGCTGGGGGCCCGAGCCCCGCGGAGCTCTGGGGTGGCTTTGGGGTGGCCCTGGAAGGACTTTTGGGACACTGTCACCTGGACAGAGAGGGACACGCTGCCGGCTGAGGGAGGCGCGCCCAGCCGGGCCAGCCCCGTTCCCAGCTGCGTTTTGGGGAGCGGGGTCGGGTTTCGGGGTGCTGGCTCCGGGCGCAGCCTCGCTGGCGGAGGAAGTCGGTGACTCTTGAAAAAGCTGCTTTTCCTCTGCTTTGCCGGGGAGTGACTCAGAGCATCGCGCGGGATGTCAGGAGGTTCACGTTAATTATAACCCAGCCCAGCCGGGGCTGCGCTGCCCGGGCCGGGGCGCGGGAGCTGCCGGGGGCATCCCATGGGTGCCCGGGGCGACACGTGGCCCGCGGGCCAGCCTCCCGCGGGGCCCTGCTGCTCCAATAACGCCGATTTACCCCAAATCCTGCCGGCGTGCCCGGCTCTGCCGCCGCTCCAGCGCGGGGTGTGCTGGGGAGCGCGGGTCCCCCAGAGCTGGGGACACACCGGTGGCCTTGCTGTCCCCCCCGCCGCCCCCGCGGAGCTCGTGGGTGGCGTGTTTGAATTTGGGGCCCCGCTTGGGCGGGGACTCCGTCCCGCTCCAGCTCATTGCCCGGAGGGGGTGACTCAGCAGCGCCCGGGGGGCTCGCAGGAGCCGCGGGGGAAACTGAGGCACGGGGGGTGTGGCTCGTCCCGCCGCACCTGGCCGGGAGGGTTCGCCCCCAGCTCGGCCCTTCCTTCCCGGGCAGCTTGGCTGTCCCCGAACGTCCGCAGGATGTTTGCTCGGGGCTCCCGGCCAGCTTGGGCCGGTGTGGCCGCAGGGCTCGGGTCCGTGCCTGGGGCAGCCCCGGCTTCCCACGGCTGGCACTGCCCCGGGCTGTGTGCCCACCTCGGCTCCGTCCTTCCCGCTGGGGTTCTGGGGTGCTGTGGGGGGCACGCTTTAATTCCTGCCCTGCACCCCCAATGCCAGTCCTTGCCATGCTGCTCCCTGGCTCCGTGGGCAGAGGTGATGGGTGTGGGTGGCACCCCATTCCCCTGGGGTGGGCACACAGCCCCCCCTGCCTGCCCACCTTGTGTTTGGGGGTCCCTGGGGGTGCCACGGGGCTGGAGCCCAGCCGGGTGCCAGCGTGGGCTGCAGCTGCTGCCTGCTGCGGTCAGGTGCTTTTTATAAAACCCAGGGAAATAGAATAGAGCAGGGAAAAAAAAACCTATTTAAAAAAATAAAAAACAGAAAAGCAGAGGCACCGCTGTCTCCAAGAGCAATAACTGCTGCTTCCTCCCGGGCAGGGGGAGGGGATGGCAGGGTGGGATGGGATGGAGGTGCAGGGCCAGGTGCCCAGGACTGAGCCCCCACAGCCCCGCTGAGGAGGGGGACACCGTGAGGGGCTCCCCAGGGGTGCAGCGGGTCCCCTTTGGGTGAGGACAGCAGGGTTTGGGCACAGCTGGCACTGCCGTGTGGCAGCCACGGTCACAGCCCCGCTGGGAATGTTGGTGGCCCTGGGAATGTGTCCTCGTGTGTCCCAGTGTGAGTCTGCAGCTCCGGGAGCCCTGTGGCACGGGCTGTGCCCTGCTGGCGTGTGCCAGAGTGTGACACTTGTCCCCTGAGCTCCCTGTGTCCTCCTGGCGTGTGCCAGCG